TAAAGGTGATTTTCTGAATGTTAGGTGTACTGTACAAATTGTTGGCAATTTTGATAGATTTTACAGATTTTTTTCAAAAATTTTTATCAGTAAATGATTTTATCGGTGCTTAGTTTACATAATTTAACTAAATTAAAGAGCTTTTTTAAAAAATATTAAAAAAAAAATGCAGTAAAGTAAAAAATTACACAATGTTTTAATTATATGGCCACTTCAAAGTCGATGTATTTTCATAAAAACCGTTATTTATGGAAAAATTGCATGAAATAATTTTCCATTTCCACACTAAATCTCTTAAGTGCAGTATATCGAAGTGTTCTGAATTAAAAAATTTTCAAAAATACTTCAAACGAATCGAGGGCTGATCAAAAAATGTTTACCACAGTAAATGTTTTAATTCTGTGGCCACCACTGTATATTATCGACCGATTTTATCTAAGTGGTGCACCAAATAACCAGCGTTTGTTCGATTATGGCGAAATTTTGCACAGCGTACTAAATTAAGCCTAGAAATACATGAATGAAATTTTATTCAAATCGGTTCAGATTTCGATATAGCTCCCATATATATTTTGGCCCGATTTTATCTAAGTAGAGCGCCAAATTCGCAAATGTTGTCCGATTGCGAAGAAATTTCGCATAGCGTTCTGAAGTGAGCTTATATCGATGTGTGTTAAGTTTTATTGAAATCGCTTCAGATTTAGATATAGCCCATATATATTTTTGACCGATTTCCTGTAAAAAGCTCACCAAATATACACCGTTTGCCCGATTGCGACGAAATATAGCATAGCGTTCTGAATTGAGCCAATATCGATGTGTGATAAGTTCTATTAAAATCGCTTCTGAATTGGATATAGCTCCCATATATATTTTCGATCGATTTCATGAAAATATTTACATAATATCTATGGTTTGCCCGATTGTGATAAGAATTTTCGCAGCGTAACAAATTGAGCCTAGAAATACTTGTATGAAATTTTATTGCAATTGGTTCAGATTTAGATATAGCTTTTTTCGCCTGATTTCTTCTAAGTAGAGCACCAAATTCGCAAATATAGCTCCCATATATATTTTAGTCCGATTTCGTACCCTCTGCCTACGTCGCTGCCTCCAATATATATTTTCCACCGATAACATCGATTATGGTTGGGAATTCACTTGATCCGCAAATGTTGAGGATCACTTTTGCATTCGAGAGAACATTTTCACTTGCTGAGAATCTTTCTATACCCATACTGACCTCATTGGTTTTACTATTATTTTATTTTTTTGAATTTTTTCTTTGCAAAAAACAACCTCGAAAAAATTATATTATTCTTTTGTATGACAGAATTTAATTGACATACGGATAAGCCAAGCTCCATCCATTGTTGTTACGGTTGCTGTTGCTTAGAACTGAAAAAAGGGGAATGGACTCAAAAGTTGAACTAATCAAAATCTCAACTACATCACTTCGCTGGTGCAAATATTTTTATTATCTCTTGTAAAAAAATAAACGTAATTAAATTTAACTTGAAACCCCAAGCCCCTCACAAATCTCACCGCTTACCTAACCTCCGAGAATTATAATTTTGCTAGAAATAATTTCTAGCATCGCACATTTTTATGAGGTGTTAATATGCCCATAAAAAAGCCCAAAACTAAAAGAGAATTTGCAAATTCCGACAGAGCATCACGAGAGGAACATCTGATGAATTCTCTGGAGGGTAGAGAATTCATCAGATGATTCTCTGTTGGGTAGATGTACGTGCCTCCATTGCTGCTGTTATTCCATGGCTAGTGTTTTAGTTTTGTTTTTGACTTTTCAACAAATTGTCGGAAATTCTAATTTTCAATGATCATGTGTGTGTGACAAAAAGGAGAGGCAGATTGGTGAATAAAGGGGGAGAGGTGGCCTGGGAGGTAGTTAGCTTAAACGTGAATGAACATCGGCACTGCTTGTGTTGTTTTCAAACTACTATGGTTTTGGTCAGCGAAAAAAAAAAACTGAACCCTGAACCCTCTGTACAACACCACCACTCAACACTCTTAATGAAAATGTTTCCAATAAATTGAACGAATGATAAATGACCCACCGACCAAGCGACTCGGCGAACTTAAATGTGTAACAGCAACAAAGTCCATCATAAAAAAATGATCTTTTAACGGAAATCAAATGTGTGTTACAAGGGTCAACAATAGACAGCGAGAGGGACAGACAGACAGAACGCACTGTCACCTAACAGCAAAAATAATAAAAATAAAAACAAGGTTAATTCAATATCCAAAGTTTAGCAAATTGAAATCGTGAGAGGAAATGACAATAACAAATAAAAACAAAATCATCAGGTAACTGAGATGGGGATTCATATTTACTGACAATTTCGACTCGAAAAAAGCATAAAATCGCACGAAAATATATATGGGAGCTATATCCAAATCTGATGCGATTTTCACGAAAGTTAACACACATTATTCTAGACTTATTTCAATATGCCGAGCCAAATTTCGTGCAAATCGCAAGATATATAGGGACTTTGGCGCCCAATTTCCTTTAAATCGGACGAATAATATATATGGGACCTATATCTGAACCGATTTTCACGAAACTTAACACACATCCCTCTGAATCAATTCAGTTCGATATGCCAAATTTCGTAGAAATCGAAATTTATATAGTGACTTTGGTGCACCATTAACATAAAATCGGACGAAAATGTCTATGGGAGCTATATCTAAATCTGAACCGATTTTCACGAAAGTTAGAACACCTCATTCTACACATAATTCAATATGCTTTGCCAAATTTCGAGGAAATTCAAAGATATATTCCCAATTTCATTAGGGTTCGTCCTTGGGCCAAATGAATTAATTGTGCCTAATTTCATCCAATTCGGATCATAAATGCGGCCTTTACATACATGGATAAATCGACTCAGATACTATGCATATTGTCAAAAGGAACCTCGTTTCCTTTTGCCTGTTACAAACATAGACATAATACCCTATATTATGTGGTGAAGAGTATAAAAATTCTCATTTACTGAAACTCAAATTTTGTTCCATAGACACAAAATCTTACTGAGTTACTGAGCTTCATTTTTATGGACACAAATTATAAAAATCTACAATAAAAAATCGACAGATGAGGTTAGTTGTTTTCTTTCGTAAAATCCTCAGGTAACTGAATTTCGTTTTTTTTTACAGAAAAATATTCTCTTAATTGAAGCTTCAATATTTCCTACTAAACAAAAATCCTCAGCAAATTGAGTCATAATTTATATTTATAGATACAAAAACTTCTCAGTTAGCTGAGACCTAATTTTTTTCTATAGAAAAAGAAAAATAATCGAAATTCTGGATTTTTATCTCTTGTGAAACCAGATTTTTCCCAAAAAATCCATAATTAAATAAAGATTATTTTTTCAAATCAGATTAAAAATAATATTTTTAAATTTTAAATTTAAAAAGCCCAACGGAAATTTTTAAATTTTCCGTTGGGCTTTTGTTGCTTGTATCGACATTTATCTGTTATATTGTATTTGGCATTTATATCAAAATAATTTGGAAAATACATACGCGAATTTTATAACATCAACGCAGATGTAGTAACTGAGCCATTGAGTGAGCGGGAGAGACCACTGTTGTAAACAAGAGAAACAGTAGACAAGCAAACGATTGCAAAACTAACAACCAACAAGTGTGAGAGTGGCAGAGGACAATACCAAAACAAAACACAGCCGAACGTTGGATGATGGTGATGGATTTTTTCCATGGGAAGCATACATTTGTTTTTGCCAACAAAGAAAGAGAGAGAGAGAGAAATAAATGACTGCAAGTAGTAGTAAAGTAGAGGGAGATATGAAAATAGTTTTGATATTAATGAAATGTTTACATTTTTTTATTGGAAAAAATCGTGGCTTTCTTATGATTATAATAATTTTTGACTTGTATTCTATACGAAGTACATGTACAATATCGAAATAATTTGGAAAATACATATGCGAATTTTATAACATCGATGCATAGGTCAGTACCAGTGTATCAGAAATAAAGAAACAATGGAATGCAAAATTAGTCTCCATAGAGTGAGTAGACAGACCGCTGATGTAAACAAGAGAAACAAACGATTGCAAAACTAAGAACCAGCAAGTGTGGAGAGAGGCAGAGGACGATACCAAAACGCAATGATACCAACGATACCAAAAGAGAGAGAGAGAGAGAGAAATAAATGAGCACTTGCGCTTGTGGTAAAGTAGAGCAAAATATGAACATTGTTTTGATATTAATGAAATGTTTAAATTTTTGTTGGAAAAAATAGTGGCTTTCTCATGATTATAAGAATTTTTACTTGTTTTCTATACGAAGTACATGTAAAATATGGAAAAAAAAATAAACAATGAATAAAATTATGAAAGTATTCATTTTTTTGGAAATATATTTTTTAACCATCCTCAAAGACCTTAAAAATTATTTAAATAAAATCCACTCCTCGAGTAGAACTTGAAAAAATATTTGAATAAAATCAAGGTCTACCTTGAAGGAAATATTTAAATAAAATCCACTCTTCGAGTAGACCTTGGAAAAAAAGATTTAAATGAAATCCACACCTCGAGTAGACCTTGAAAAAGAAAACTGCTGTCTAAAATTTCCTTTAACGGAAATCTAAGTTTCCTATAAAAAATCATTGCTCATCTAAACTGAGCACTAATTTATTTTGCATTTCAAAAACATTTTTTGTATTTGAAAATTTTGTTGTTATTGTAATTTTTTTGTTTTTATTTTTTTGCATTTGATTTGAGGGCATTTGACGTTTATGTGGCAGAAAAAAATTACAAATAATAGTTGCAAATAGTCCACCATCCGATTAGGAGGTTGCTTGTTTAGCGATCTGGTTTTGATTTAATTAAAACACTTTTGTCGAGATCGCTCACTTTGTTGTCATAAAAATTGCTTCAGTGAAAGTAAAAGTAATTATAAATTATCCACAACTACTTTCGGATTTGAAATTAAATCAGCAAAACAACTAAATGTGATTGTCTAATTTGTGTTTTTTTTTCTCCTGTCTTTTTTTTAGCTAAATGCAATTTCGATCAAGACGATAAACCGCATCGCCTCAGCCTGGATGTTGGTGATGCTGTCGTTATATTAAAGGAGACAACACATTGGTATTATGGATATAAACAGAGGTAAGTGCGAGATAAATATAATGTTAGTTATACATATGATTATTTGTCAAGATTTCGAATTGGTGTTGAAATTCAAAAAAATAAGACCAGATGATATATTAAATTTATGTTGGAGCCTAATTCGTGATATTTATATCACAGATACCGGGGGAAAATATACCAGAGAAGAGGGCAATATGATTTTTTTACCTGCAGGATAATAGTGATTCCATTCAAAAAAGTTAAACCTCATGTTATTCGTTACACAATATATAATGTTAACACTTACAGAAGTGACCACTTCGGAGAACTCGTAAATCGATTAACTAATGATTTGTGTATAAAAATCGGTTCCATTTTGTATACCCTTTACCACACTGGGTGTTATGTCTTTGTACATGTGCTAGTAACAGGCAAAAGGAAAAGAGATAGACTCACGGTTCCTTTTGAGAATATACATAGAATCACTTTCTGAGTCAATTTATGCATGCATGTCAGACCGTCTGTCTGTCTACGTTAAATAGTAAACAAAGTACAGGTCGCATTTATAATCTGATTTGGATGGAATTTGGTACAGCTCATTTATTTGGCCTTAGGACAAACCGTATTGAAATTGAGGTAAATGGTGCACCAAAGTCCCTATATATCTTTCGATTTGCACGAAATTTGGCATAGTGTACTGAATTGAGGTTAGAATGGTGTGTGTTAGGTTTCGTGAAAATCGATTCATATTTAGATATAGCTGCCATATATATTTTCTTGTGATTTTATGTGAATGGTGCACCAAAGCCCCTATATTTATTTCGATGTGCACGAAAATTTGCATGGCGTAATGAATTGTGTCTGGAATGATGTGTGTTAAGTTTCGTTATAATCGGTTCAGATTTAGATATAGCTCCCATATATATTTATACCCTCAGTCTTATGGCTAATAAGGGTATAAACACTTTGTTATCGCAAAAATGTGCCTCATCGAGATATTGGTTTCTTTGGACCAAATCCGTTTCAGAAAATTTCGAATCGATTTACAAAAGTCCATCCGTCCGTTGTCCGCCTGACTGGCGACTGATGCGAACGATAATTCTCGAAGGAAATAATCAATTTCATCTAATCTTTGCACATCTTATTATTTCTATCAAACTTAGTTCAAATTCGAAGATGGGGAATATCGGTCCACTGCTTCTGGTACCTCCCACACAAATGGTCAAAATTGTGCAAACAAATAATTTTATAATATCATGCGAACGGACTATCATATTTGAACCAAACTTTGTACATCCTATTATCTTAACCAAGCCTAGATGAAGTCCGAAGATGGAACCCATTATTTACTCCTTCTGGTAGCTGCCCCACAATGGGTCAGAATTTTCATCATTTATAAATCCAATATCCGATTTGAATTAAACTTTGCACAACTTTTTATCTTGACCAACTAGATCAAGTCCGAAATTGGTACCTCTCCCCAAAAAAGGGTCTATATTATATACAATGCTAATTTTTATTTAAAGCGAATTTGATTGATGTTAAATCCGAAACCATTTTGATAGGAACTTATATTAAACGAATAATAAAAGCTGTGTATAACTCTGAAGATCTCCACAAACCATAGGCTGGAGGTATAAATCCAATTGAGTTCTTTTGTAGTTGTAAGCGGAAACTGCTGATTTTTTCCCTATAAAAAATACTTAGCTAGGATCTGTGGATATTTTTTCTGTAGAAAAATACATAATTTTTTTTAAATCCTATGGATAAATCCTTTAATCGAATTCAGATTTCTTTGAAGTAGTCGCTTCTGTCTGCGATCTATTGATTTTTTTTCTATAGGAATAAACAATTTATGTGGAACCTGAGGACTGCTGATATTTTTTTTATAGAAATAAATATTTCCGATTAATTTGAGATCTTCTGATTTTTTTCTATGAAAATAAATCCGACAATTTTGAGTTCTTTATTTTTTATAAATAATAATATTATTACACAATCTGAAATGTTGCACCAAATTTGTTTTGTTTGTATACCCAAAAAATAAGCCGATGTAAACAATTTCTGTTGATTTAAGAATATCAAGAAATTTAATGCAATAATCACGTTTTTTTCTTGGATAACAAAAACAAATGACGTAATCTCTTGGTATTTGAGTTATTTAACAAAACATTATTTTTTGTGGGTTTAAATCTGATACCAAAAACAACTCAAACTCGCGGTGTTTATTTTGGATCAGTTTTTTTCTGGTAAATATTTCCCTCATTCTATGCCAGTTTACCTTTCGCACTGTCTTAATCCATGTTTAAATCTCAAAAATAAATTTACCTCAAGAAAAAAGTTTCTTATCATTGATTCCGAACAAAATCAAAACAAACCCTTTTCCATACAAAAAATCAAATCAAATTTCCTTAACGTTTGCTGTTTGTTCGGAATATGAAGAATGAGTTTGCCTGCATGGTCTGTGTGCTCGACTTTTGCTAAATACCTTTCGGGGTTTTTTTGTATGTCTGGCTTCTTATCAGATTGGCGGTATTGTCTTTCAATATTATGACAAAAATTTTTGTGTTGCAACATACATACTTACATTTGGTTATGTATTTTGGCTAAAGTTAAGGATGCAAGACCAAGATTTGAATGTTTTGATTTGAAAGAGAGGAGCAAATTCCTTGTAAATCAAATGAGGGACAGAATAGAAACATGGAAAAAAATATTTTTGGGAATTATATTACATTCAAAATCATTATAAGATACAATATTGAGGTTTTTTATGTGAAAAAATCCACATTTTTTTGTCAGAATATTAAATAATTCTTAATTATTAGAGATCTGATAACCAAATTAGTCCTACATTTTTTCCTATTGTATGTCTGAATACTCGAGGTCTGTGTAGTTTTTTTTTCTATAAAAAAAACCAGTAAGGAAAGTACTAAAGTCGGACTGGGCCGACTATATGATACCCTTCACCACTTTGGAAATATTCTACATATGTATCCTAAAAGACTTCGCCTTTTTGAAGGAACATTGACATGCAATTGAACGAATTTAAACATATGAACTTAATCTATATCTAAACGGATTAACATTAATCCCTACACATGTCATTGTGCAACCTATGTACTGTTTAAAATTGAATTCCAATCAGACGCCCATTGACTATTTGGTGTACAATTAACATGACTAAGTCAAATTATATATGGAAGCTATGCTATATCTGAACCGACTTCAAGGAAACTTGCCGGCGATTAATTTATATTAATTTGCGTACGTTGTTCCGATCGGCCTAGCTATGGATCTTATGTGCATCATTTACTTTAAATCGGACGAAAATATATATGGGAACTATATCTAAATCTGAACCAATATCCACGAAACTTAGCACACATCATTCTAGACTCCATTCAGTACGCTGTGCCAAAATTCGTACAAATCGAATGTTTTTTTGGGACTTTGGTGTACCATTTACCTAAAATCGGGCGAAACTATATATGGGAGCTATATCTAAATCTGAACCGATCTGCGAAACTTAGCACACATCATTCTAGACAAAATTCAGTACGCTGTGCCAAATGTTGTGCAAATCGAAAGATATTTAGGGACTTTTGTGCATCATTTACCTAAAATCGGGCAAAACTATATATGGGAACTATATGTAAATCTGAACCGATTTTCACGAAACTTGGCACACATCATTCTAGACTTAATTCAGTACGCTATGCCAAATTTCGTGCAAATCGAAAGATATATAGGGACTTTGGTACACCATTTACCTTAAATCGGATGAAGATATATACGGGAGCTATATCTAAATCTGAACCAATTTTCACGAATCTTAACACACGTCATTCTGCACATAATTCAGTACGATATGCCAAATTTCGTGCAAATCGAAAGATATATAGGGACTTTGGTGCACCATTGTCCTTAAATCGGACGAAAATATATATGGGAGATATATCTAAATCTGAACCGATTTTTCCCAATTTCAATAGGGCTCGTCCTTGGGCCAAACAAATGAGCTGTGCCAAATTTCATCCAATTCGGATCATAAATGCGAAGTGATTCTATGCATATTCTGGAATTTAGTAGAAGGACTTTAAAATAGTTAAGAAAAAAAATCAAGGCCTATAGAAGGGGTCTGAAAAAATATTTTTAAAAAATCGACGCCTGCAGACGGGAACTAAAACATATTTTTTAAAAATCCACGCTTTAAAAATATTTAAAAAATACACGCCTTTAAAATATGTTTTAATCTTTTTTTAAATCCTCTCCTTTAGAAGGGCTATATAGTAGTGACTTCAAAAAAATGTTTTTTTTTTTAATTTTCTTTTAATACAGAAAATAGTTTTTTAATCGTCGTTAAAAACTGTTATACTGTGTATAACAGTTAGAAAAATTTTTTTTTTTAATTTTTTTATTACAGAAAATATTTTTTTAATCGCCGTTAAATTTTAAAATATCAAATAGTTTTTTTCTTAACTGTTATACTGTGTATAACAGTTTGAAAAAACTGTTATACTGTGTATAACAGTTAGAAAAACTGCTATACTCATTAAAAATATGTATGTGAAAAACCACCGAATAATAATTTATTTATTTAGTAACAGAAAAACCTCCAGAAAAAATATTCTCACATTTCCCAAACAAACACCATTCACGGTTCTGAAATATTGCCTTCAAATTATAACACTTTCTGAAGTACATAAAACTCCAAAAGAAGAAAATGAAACAAATAAGAAACATTTGTGTTTGCATAACCTCGAAACATTTCCCATAAAATCTCATTTGGTCCAATGTGGCACAAACTATCAAGAAAAAATATCCTTTTTGTGTTTTATCGCCGACCTTTATTTTGCCATGGATCAATGGTGTTGAGTGTGGAAGCATATTGTGCTACAGACTGGGAAAAATACAAATTTTCCCATTTTGTGTGCACGAGTGTGTGTGTTTGTGTACACTTTGTGCCTGGCATATTGATACAGTTGTTGGATGCTGAGGACTGATTACTTTTTTTTCTGTCTGTTAACCTTTTGGTCTTT